ATATAATGCAATCACTTCTTTATTTCCATCCTGTATTTACTGATCATGTAGTAAAATCAGAAATCAGTTGTGGGTATGACGATAAACTACATCCGACAGCAAGGAAGGTTTTAAAGAGCGTGGAACCACCTCTTGATTGCTGTTGTTCCCAGGTTCACCCTGACTGGGGGTGGTAGCACCTGTTATGGTCCCAGCTATGGGCAAATAGTGAAACCCCAAACAAAAAAAAAATGTGATGAAAGTATAAAAATACATTTTTATAGTAAAATTACCAGCAATACATTTTATAGTAAAATGACCAACAATATTGCAGTTTAAGGCATACAGTTATGTTTGAAATATATTTATTTGAAGCCATAAAATTGTATTTGAAATATGTAGATTTTGGCATTAAACAGCCTCTGGTGGTTGGTTTGCCACTAAGTAAAATAAACCAAACTAAAATCAGAAATACTCTATTCTTATATTAATGGGAGTTTCTTTTTTAAATTTTTTTTTTACTAAACTACAGTAATTGAGTATACATATTAACATGAAAAACACAACATTTAATTTTTATGTAGGGAGAATCAGGTTGCTAATATATTGCATCTTTTTTTCTTTTTACCTTTTTTTTCTCTTGGTAACCTTCTTTGAATATTTTTATTTATTGTTTCACATGCCAAAAAAGAATTCATTCTTTTGTGGCATGTGGAAGAAAGTATTTCTTACATAAAGTTGATTGGATAGATCAGTTATGTGCAAATTGCAGCCCATTTGGCATTCTGAATAGCACACCTAATTTCATGAGGAAAATAACATTTCTTAAAATTTGGTTTGTTTAATTTCTTTCTCACTTGTTCACGCACATGTTCTCATTCATAACCACATACATGAGTGTAATGCTTCTTGAATTTTTAAACTTTCTTCAAAGCTAATGTTTTCATCATTTTAAACAATTGACAATTTTCATTAAGGAAGATCAGATGTGCGAATATTTTCTGCTTCTGGAGAAGAAATATATTTTTCATTTAAAACATTTTTTTTGTATTTTCAAGGGAATAAATTAGAAATTATTAACACGAAGCAGCATGTGCTAATCACACTGTTATCTGTGTTAATATTATATGAAGACTTCAGGTTTTTAATTATAGAAAAATCTTTTCTCTAATGGGGGAAAAATCAACTCCCCTCCTACCATTTCTAAGGAAGACATTTATACCTGTGTTCTTCCATAGTGAAAATGGCTGAGGCACCTTTACAAAAAAAAAAAAAAAAAAAACTGTATTTACTGGCATCAAGGACACAGTTGCTTTTCTGAAATAAGTCTTGAAAATTTGTCATGCAAAGGTTAAGGTTTCCATAGGACTATGCTAAATGGTAAACTGAATTCCTGTCGGTCAGTTATGTGCCATGCATGGTACACACTTAGGTGATCATGTATCTTTCAATACATGACTGACAAGGCAGATTTTCTTTTCCCCCACATTAGGTTGCCATTTCTTTCTGCAGTAGACCAGTTGCCATCCAAGGCTATAGAACCTGGTCTTTCCTACTATTTACCCATAGCTGGGGGGAGAAGAAGAGGATTCATATCTTCCCAAAAGTTTTCCTATATGATGTGGCCATGGCTTCTCACCATAACCATAGCCAATACTAACATATTTCTCAGAGGGAAGTGTATGATAGAACTTTTGTCTCATTCAGAACTGTGTGAAGGATATTAGCATGTAAGTGAATGTAATGGATTCAAATGGAATTAAAACTCAGCTGTCCAATTCCTCAATCTGAGCTGCTATCAATTACTCATGCAAATTTTCAAGATTTATTTCAGGAAAAAAACTGCATCCTTGATGCCATTATATACATTAATTTCAATCTTTTTAGTAGTGTGGTCCACCTTATGATGAGCCATATTTTATGCAGTGCACCAGTCAGAAAAGGTTGCTTATGCTTGGTACAAATAAAAATCTAAGATTTCTTGTATGAGAAATATAATCAGTGCAAACATTACTTAAATATTGATTCATTTTTTTTTGATGGTTCTGTTAAATTACTAAATTTTACTTGAGCTCTCCAGTTATAGAATCACTGGAAGGCTCTTCTCAATTATAAATTCCTTCCTAAAAGATATAGGTCTCTGAAAGTAGTTATTAACAGCCAGTCCTCTCGCTGTCCTGTGTGGGACGATATACTATGTTCAACAGCAAGGCGGTTTTGCTAAACTACATCCAACTGTAAGGCCTCTGATCAAGAGGTTTTTAAGAGCATTGCTGGTGTTCCCAGGTCCACCCTGACTTAGAGTGGTAGCACCTGCTAGGGTCCCAGCTATGGGCAAATAGTTAATCCCCAAACTGGGGTCAAAACACTATGAAAATGTAAAAGTAGGTTTCAATATCAGCAATACATTTCTGAAGGAAAATATATTACTAGCAATACATTTTTATAGGAAAAAAAATATTACCAGCTATAGATTTTTGTAAATAATTATAATAAATAATTATTACCAGCAATACTACATTTTTGAAGGGAAAAGTATTCCCAGCAATAAAAGTCTTATTGGCATTAAATAACCCATTGAGGTTGATATGCCGTAAACCAAACTAAACCAAACCAGTCCTCTGGGGCCCTGGTGGTCAACGCTGGCATCCCCCAGGGGTTACTTCTCAGACTAACTCTCTTTTTCATTTACATAAATGATATGCCTAAAAATATCCTCAGATCATCTGTAAACATCTATGCCGATAATGCAACTATATATGGTTGCACCTCTAAAACTCTTAATGATGAGAAATTGGCAGCTGATTTCTCATTTGACCTAGCATGAGCTTTTTACTGTGGGGGGAAGGACTAATTGGTTACATTCAATACCTGAAAAACCAAACTAGCAATCTCACCTCGAACTACCACCAGTTATGATGAACAGTTGTCCCCTCATGATGGCTCCATGCCTTCGGAGATTAATGGTCCTTAAACTTACCTGACCTCAAATGGAACTCGTACATATGATCCATCACAGGAAAAATGCTCATGCTATCCTCTACCTTTACAAGAGCCAGATTAAGCTAAGAATGTAGTATTGTTGTCCTATTTGGGATGGAGTTGCACAGTCTTCATTTTTTAGTCTCAATAGAGTCCAAAAGTGTCTCAGTCCTTGTGGGCAACAAATTATTTTCCACCCTCACACTTCTCTCTCACAGGCATGATGGGGCAAGTGTCTCACTGCTCTATTACCACTTCTATAGAAAGTGCAGAACCCAAATTCTATATTATTCCAATACCCAAAAATAGTTTGGTCAAATCTGTGCAAAAAGTGGATCACAGAACACTTTCAACTTCATATACTTTCAAAAAAATCTGAAGCCCTCATTGGTTAATAAATATACAAGTAGGTGTGACTATCCACCCACACTTAACTAATTTTTACAGCTTGTGACAGAAATCCAGGTTCGTGCCAAGTCTCTGTGAGCCGCACGAAGCAAATAAAAACTGAAACTCATTCACAATCGCCAGTGAGCATTGTGACATCAAACAATTTGCAAGTAAACTTCACATCACACAATCTTAAGTTTTTCATTCATATGAACATTATATAGGGTGATCCCAAAAAATGGGAATTTTTGAAGTGCATATTGCCAGTCATGAGCAAGTGGCAACACTGCGGGACAGTGACCTTGAGCAAGTAAACATTTCGCCATTAATTCAAGATGCAATTCACAGTATCCCAGCTGAGATGTTGCAGCAGTCAATGAGGAATCTCAACAGCAGATTTCAAGAATGCATTCATACAGGAGGACGCCATCTACAGGACGTAATTTAAAAAAAATGAAAATTCCATCATTGTTTCTTAAATGGCATGTTTCAAGGTTTCAATTACTATGAATAAAATATTTTTCTTCCATCACTCTTGGTTTTATTGGATTGTTAAAAAGTTCCCATTTTTTTGGGTCACCCTGTACAAGCTTAATGATATTCACACTCACTCACCAAAACTGACCAGTAAACTTTATTCCCATTCACTCACCAAATTCCTTACACAGAAGTTAGACAAATTCCTGCTAGCAAATCAACTTTATTTCTCAACATTCGAGAACATTGTATTACACAAAACAATCAAAGGTAGATAGGTTTGATCACAAAATTGCATTCAACTTTACAAACATTTACTACTTACATGAACAGTAAATTCTTAAATGTAAATTTTTCTCTTGCAATTAATTTACAGAATCTTCAATAACAGATTCTAAAAAACATCCTTTCAAATCAGAACTCATTAACAAAATTTAATCTTTCACCAAACTTGAGTTCAACATAAATTAAAGTAACAAGATTTCACCTAAAAAAATCCACTATATTTTTGTGAAATATTTTCATTACAAAAAATACATTGAAAATTCCTTGTTCTTCAAATATTTGCCTTTTGTCTTTTATCACAAATGTTTCTTGTTGTTTTTTGCATTTTTGCTTAATATATTTATAGAGTAAAAAATTGTATGGATTGATTTGGGCCGTCAACACCATTAAATAAATGGTAACTACCAAACTTTCCACCACAGAAAGTGCTTGGATGAACTACATTCATTGTTTCCACCATTTCTCACTGTCGTAGTGAGGACCCACCATGCTACTTACATTCTAGCAAACTATCCACATTCCTTCTGTATTCCACTCAACCATCTTCGTCCCACAAACCAGTTCTGTGGAGAAATGATTCCCAAGATGATGTTTCCCCAATTGCTATAATCTTAACCTGTACAAGCCTTGGCTTAACTGTTATCTCCCCCCCCTATCTGTATAAACTGTTTCTTAATGTAACCCTTCTACCTTGAGTGGCCCCCTGGTCTTGTACAGGGTGAACCTCTTTATAAAATTTAAAAAAAATGTGATCTGGAAAATAATGTTTTTTTTATCTGAAGAATTTTATTCTCTTCCATGACGGTTCATTCTTAACAGTTTTAATGATTCTTGTTTTGTTCTTTTTATTTTAAAAATTCTGATTCAATTTGTTTCTCTTGTCACAGACGTGGATCTGATTGACTTTTCATCCATCTTTGTGGCTTCAGGACATCACTCGGACGATAATGTCCTCAGTAATCTTGCAGTCCAGCAAGATTTGGACTTCAATAGCAGTGATGAATCTGAACAAATGTCGGCCATTTTGAGACTTCCAGGTGAATTCACTTAAATTTAATAAAAATATTTCTTTGCTTTTTTGCACATCAATGTGCAACATTAGCTTTTTTTTCTTGCATTTTTTTTCTGTTTCGTTCTATTTGTGGCTTTGCTGAGGTTTTTCTGGCTACTTTTCAGTTGTTTCTTTTTTGTCTTTTTCTTTGTTTCTTGATTTGTTTAATGTTTCAAATTTCTTTCTCTTTGTTTTTAGTTTTTTCTTATTTTCTTATCTTCATTTCTCCTTTAATGTTTCTTTTTTTAGTCTTTTTACTATTTCTAGTTTTTGTTTCCTTTTTCCTTATTTTTAAATATTTCTTTTCTTAGTCTATTTACATGTTTGATTCTACTTTTTAATGTTTCTTTTTCTGTTTTTTCCTTTCTTTTTCAGTGTTGCTTTCTTATTTCATACTGTATCTTCAATGTTTCTTTCTCTCTTTTTAAAATTGTTTTATTTGTTTCATTCCTCTTTGTTATTTTACTTTTTTCATGGATTTGTTTCTTTTTTCATACATGTTTCATTCTTTTTCTTTCTTCTACTTGTTTCTTTTTTGCTCTTATCTTTTTTTCTTAGTCTTTCCTTTTTTTCTTTTGTTTAAAATTTTCTGTTATTATTACTTTCTTGACAGTTTCATTCATTTTTCCTTTTCTTACTTTTTTATTTTTCCTTTTTCTTATCTTTTTTTATACATTTTCTTATTTTTCTTTGATTTTTCTTGTCTTCCTTTTTCTTTTTTCTCTCTTTTTCTATCTGCTACATTTTTAGTCCTATTCTATTTAAAATATATTTCAGGGAAAAAAAACTAAGTGGAAAAGTTTTCATGTTTCATTCATTAGGACTTCATCAGGCTAAAGTGATGTTGACATTTATATGATGACATATGTGCATGAAGGAGAGGGTGACCTACAGGATTTTAAACTATGGAATCTCTTTCTTATGAAGGTTGTTGTTAATGGCCAATCCTCACATGAGATCAATGTTAGCATCCCCAAAGGCTTTCTCTTTGGTCTTATCCTCTTGCTGCTTTTTGTTAACAATCTGCCTAACAACATTCTCAGATCCTTAGTAAATACATCTGCCAGATTTTTCCATGGTTTATGGGCAAACCTCCAAATATCTGGATGACCCATGCCTGGCAGCAGATCTATCAATAGGAGAAAGACTGTTGTGTATTATTCAATACCTGCAAAACAAATACTGCTAATGTTTCATCACCAACAAGCCGACTCTATATTTGCTCCAATCCTGATAAGTGATCAGATTCTCAAAGAGGCTCTTTGCCTCAAATGGACCTAAAGCTCACTCTAGACCTCAAATTCATGCTATCACTAAAAATGCAGTAAGAATGGTCGGTTTCTTGTATTGCTCCTGAAAATACCCAACTTCTGCTATCATGCTCTATCTTTATGAGAATTGGATCAGTATTGCTGCCATATTTGGGTTGGTGCTGCCCAGTCTTTACTGTCCAGCCTTGAGACAGAATTCAAAAGTGTTTACACCACCTTGACCAGCAAGGAATTTTTGGAGGAATTGAAAGAACACGAAGAATCCAATAACTTAGCTGAGTTTCATTCCAAGAGGTCCCAAGACGCTTTTGAAGAATTTTATAGACACATCTATTTAGAGTCAACCACAAATAAATGATAGCTAGTTAGCTTCATATGCATTTCATTCTTCTTCTTTTTCCACTCCCGGGCAAAAACTCAGTAACTCCTTGCCTTGAGTGGCCCTTGAGCCTTGTATTGGGCAAACTAAAGTAAGAAAAAAAAAACAAATTTCTTTGAGTTTACTTCTGATATGTCTCAAGAGACTCTGAAAAGAATTATTTTATTGGAGCGCCTGTTTAGGGTCAACTGTGAACAAATGATAACCGTTTAGCATATCATAGACTTTGCCAATTAGGTTATTATCACAAAGGAATTATACACGTAGAAAATGTTCTATCATCAAGTGATCCATCTATCCACACACAAATAATCTAAAACAATTGGCTGTATTAAAAACACTTTAAAGAAAGGAAAGGAACATTTCATTTTTGAGTATATTTTCGAAAAGCATTCACAAACCTATTTGATAATAATTTGATCAGAAATATAAATAAAATTTAGTCATATGACTTTGTATTTAAAACATTGGCATTCTGACCCTGATACCAAAGTTTGAATATCAGCAAGGTTGATTCGTTAAGGAAGTAACTTCATGTGGCATTGTTGGAAAGTGCTTGTAAACAATAATGTGGGTTGACCCATGATATTTGAGTGGAATTGGATAGACAGGACTGTCCAAAGGCTGTCAATTGTAACTGGCATTGTGTACTGGCTTTGTTCAATGACTGATCATAACAGACTGTGTTCTTGAAACTGTAACTGAGCATCATTACAGTCTAAACAACAGATTTCTTCTGTGGATGTTGAAGTAAATGCAAGTGTACCTGAGCAAATACCAGCAGTCAAGATGAGTTAGGCACCCTAGCAGACAGGTGTGCTCGAAAATAAGTAACAGACCATTGTTATTATTATCTTATAACTTAATATCTTTATTACTGATTTTACAAGCATGCTCAAGACTGATAGCACTTTACTTTTTTTATTAACATATAAATTATGACTTCTTTATGTAACATGATATCTTAATTTTCTTTAAAATATATGCATGAAGAGTTTTATTAATTTTAATGATTACATTCTTTGTGCCAACATAATGCTAAAAGCATTTTTTTCAGAATGCATTGGAAAATAATTTTTAATATAGGAATGCATTGGAAAATAATTTTTAATACAGGAATGCATTAGAAAATAATTTTTAATACAGGAATGCATTAGAAAATAATTTTTAATACAGGAATGCATTGGAAAAATAATTTTTAATACAGGAATGCATTGGAAAAATGATTTTTACTATGGGAATGCATTGGAAAAATGATTTTTACTATGGGAATGCATTGGAAAAATGCTTTTTATTATGAGAATGCATTGGAAAAATGTTTTTTACTATGGGAATGCATTGGAAAAATGCTTTTTACTATGGGAATGCATTGGAAAATGCTTTTTACTATTGGAATGCATTGGAAAATGATTTTTACTATAGCAAAGAACTGCAACAAGATTTTTACTGTCAGAATGGATCGAGAAATGATTTTTACTATCGGAATGCACTGGAAATGAGTTTTACAATAGAAATGCTTTGAATGTTAGGAAGAAATCGTCATTGGTCTGGAATTAATGCAGGTATCATTAATAAAATAGGGCTCTTCTGCAAGAAATCATTCTAAGAAAATATGAGTTTATATTTTATTAACATGAATATGTTTTAAATTTTATTTAATTTTTACTTTCAATGCTTCGCTGCTTCACATTTTCAATTTTTTGGGAAATGTCTCAGGTATCATTTCTAAATTCGACTCCCATAAGGCAAGCAGAGGTGACAGTATCCCATCTGTTGTCCTAAAGAAATGTACCCTTGAGCTGGCTCAGGTTCTCTTTAAACACTACAACTATTGCCTTGCTGCTTCCTGCTTTCCAGCTTGTTGGAAATCCACCTCTGCTGTTCCTCTTTTTAAGAACACTAGAGAAGTTTCTGACCCCTCTAATTACCACCCTATTATTCTCCCACCTCTTTTTGGCAAAGTATTCAAGGTCTTCTATCTAAGCTTCAGTGCTACAGTATTATAGGCTGATTGTTTGATTTAATCCAATCATTGCTATCAAATCATGAATTGAAGGATGTTCTGAACAGGCTCACTTCCAAATCCTTTCATACAAATGTGGGTATCCCCCAAGACTCTATCCTGGGTCCTACATGGTTTCTTATCTTCATCAATGATCTTCATGATGTCATCCTTTTCCAAGTAGGCATTTATGCAGATGACACCACCAATTATTCCTGTCTCAATAGTAAATCTGTTAGATCTAACAAAGTTAACATGGGTACTGCTCTTGCAAAGGACCTCCAATAAGTGGTTAACTGAGGCAGGAAATGGCTTGTAAATTTTACTGCCTCCAAAACTAAACTGCTCTCATTTAACCACTACAGAGAAACTTCCCTGCTCACCATTAGAATGGCTGATACTAGACTCCTGAAGAGCATCTCACTGAGCTTTCTTGGCCTCACATTTTCAACTGACTTGAAGTGAAATGACTACATCAAACCAATAGCTGCATCTGCTGCAAGGAAAGTTGGTTCATTGTATCATGCCAAAAGGTTTTTCTTATCAGGGTCCATCTTACACATATACAAATCTAAATTTGGCTGTGCACTGAATACAATTGGCATATCTGATCTGGTGCTTCTGATATTCATCTAAAGGTTCTTAACAAAATCCAAAGAAGGATCTGCAATATAATCGATCCTCACTTGGCATCACAATTTCACTCACTTTCTCACAGATGTGATGTGGCTTCCTTCTGTCTTTTCTATAAATATTTTTATGGCAACTGTTGTGATGAGCTTTTTTCCCCCTAGTGCCCAGACTATGTGAGTTTAAGCTTGCTACTATACTGGCATCTTGCTCCTACCCTTTAACTGTTGAAATAGTTAAATGTAACTACCACTTCTATTCCAACAGATTTTTTTTTCTTGCACTTCCCACCTGTTGAGCTCCATTCCATTTCCTTGCTTCCCTGATAACTACAATCTTGAATCTTGCTTGGGGTGAAATGATTAAAAAAAAATATGCTTTTTTTTTTTCTTTTTTTTTTTTCTCCTTTTATGATTTTTCTGTTCATTAAACTTTTTCTCTTTCCTCACTTTTATTTTTCACCTTTTTGTTTTATTCATTGTTTACCTTTTATTTTTATGCATTTTTGTTGTTTTTCTTCTTTTCTTTTTTTTGTTGTATTTTTCCAATTTTTCATGTTTTTTTCTTTTTTATGCTCTTTTTTTATATTTTTATTTTCTCTTTCTTTATTTTATTCTTTTACATTTTTCTTTTCCACTTTCTTGTTTGTCTTTTCTTTCTTATGTTTTTATTTTCCACCCTTTTTTATATATTTTCCTTTTTTA